CGTGCAGGACAAGTGCACGTGTATGGTGACACCGTGCAGGACAAGTGCACGTGTATGGTGACACCGTGCAGGACAAGTGCACGTGTATGGTGACACCGTGCAGGACAAGTGCACGTGTATGGTGACACCGTGCAGGACAAGTGCACGTGTATGGTGACACCGTGCAGGACAAGTGCACGTGTATGGTGACACCGTGCAGGACAAGTGCACGTGTATGGTGACACCGTGCAGGACAAGTGCACGTGTATGGTGACACCGTGCAGGACAAGTGCACGTGTATGGTGACACCGTGCAGGACAAGTGCACGTGTGCACGTGTATGGTGACACCGTGCAGGACAAGTGCACGTGTATGGTGACACCGTGCAGGACAAGTGCACGTGTATGGTGACACCGTGCAGGACAAGTGCACGTGTATGGTGACACCGTGCAGGACAAGTGTATGGTGACACCGTGCAGGACAAGTGCACGTGTATGGTGACACCGTGCAGGACAAGTGCACGTGTATGGTGACACCGTGCAGGACAAGTGCACGTGTATGGTGACACCGTGCAGGACAAGTGCACGTGTATGGTGACACCGTGCAGGACAAGTGCACGTGTATGGTGACACCGTGCAGGACAAGTGCACGTGTATGGTGACACCGTGCAGGACAAGTGCACGTGTATGGTGACACCGTGCAGGACAAGTGCACGTGTATGGTGACACCGTGCAGGACAAGTGCACGTGTATGGTGACACCGTGCAGGACAAGTGCACGTGTATGGTGACACCGTGCAGGACAAGTGCACGTGTATGGTGACACCGTGCAGGACAAGTGCACGTGTATGGTGACACCGTGCAGGACAAGTGTATGGTGACACCGTGCAGGACAAGTGTGTATGGTGACACCGTGCAGGACAAGTGCACGTGGTGACACCGTGCAGGACAAGTGCACGTGTATGGTGACACCGTGCAGGACAAGTGCACGTGTATGGTGACACCGTGCAGGACAAGTGCACGTGTATGGTGACACCGTGCAGGACAAGTGTATGGTGACACCGTGCAGGACAAGTGCACGTGTATGTGACACCGTGCAGGACAAGTGCACGTGTATGGTGACACCGTGCAGGACAAGTGCACGTGTATGGTGACACCGTGCACAAGGACACACCGTGCACGTGTGTATGGTGACACCGTGCAGGACAAGTGCACGTGTATGGTGACACCGTGCAGGACAAGTGCACGTGTATGGTGACACCGTGCAGGACAAGTGACACCGTGCAGGACAAGTGCACGTGTATGGTGACACCGTGCAGGACAAGTGCACGTGTATGGTGACACCGTGCAGGACAAGTGCACGTGTATGGTGACACCGTGCAGGACAAGTGCACGTGTATGGTGACACCGTGCAGGACAAGTGCACGTGTATGGTGACACCGTGCAGGACAAGTGCACGTGTATGGTGACACCGTGCAGGACAACGAGTATGTTGAAACCGTGCAGGACAAGTGCACGTGTATGGTGATACCGTGCAGGACAAGTGTACGTGTATGGTGACACCGTGCAGGACAAGTGCACGTGTATGGTGACACCGTGCAGGACAAGTGCACGTGTATGGTGACACCGTGCAGGACAAGTGCACGTGTATGGTGACACGTGTATGGTGACACCGTGCAGGACAAGTGCACGTGTACCGTGCAGGACAAGTGCAGGACACCGTGCAGGACAAGTGTATGGTGACACCGTGCAGGACAAGTGCACGTGTATGGTGACACCGTGCAGGACAAGTGCACGTGTATGGTGACACCGTGCAGGACAAGTGCACGTGTATGGTGACACCGTGCAGGACAAGTGCACGTGTATGGTGACACCGTGCAGGACAAGTGCACAAGTGTATGGTGACACCGTGCAGGACAAGTGCACGTGTATGGTGACACCGTGCAGGACAAGTGCACGTGTATGGTGACACCGTGCAGGACAAGTGCACGTGTATGGTGACACCGTGCAGGACAAGTGCACGTGTATGGTGACACCGTGCAGGACAAGTGTATGGTGACACCGTGCAGGACAAGTGCACGTGTATGGTGACACCGTGCAGGACAAGTGCACGTGTATGGTGACACCGTGCAGGACAAGTATGGTGACACCGTGCAGGACAAGTGTATGGTGACACCGTGCAGGACAAGTGCACGTGTATGGTGACACCGTGCAGGACAAGTGTACGTGTATGTGTGACACCGTGCAGGACAAGTGCATGGTGACACCGTGTATGGTGACACCGTGCAGGACAAGTGTGTATGGTGACACCGTGCAGGACAAGTGTATGGTGACACCGTGCAGGACAAGTGCACGTGTATGGTGACACCGTGCAGTGCAGTGTATGGTGACACCGTGCAGGAGTGCACGTGTATGGTGACACCGTGCAGGACAAGTGCACGTGTATGGTGACACCGTGCAGGACAAGTGCACGTGTATGGTGACACCGTGCAGGACAAGTGCACGTGTATGGTGACACCGTGCAGGACAAGTGCACGTGTATGGTGACACCGTGCAGGACAAGTGCACGTGTATGGTGACACCGTGCAGGACAGTGCACGTGTATGGTGACACCGTGCAGGACAAGTGCACGTGTATGGTGACACCGTGCAGGACAAGTGTGTATGGTGACACCGTGCAGGACAAGTGCACGTGTATGGTGACACCGTGCAGGACAAGTGCACGTGTATGGTGACACCGTGCACGTGTATGGTGACACCGTGCAGGACAAGTGCACGTGTATGGTGACACCGTGCAGGACAAGTGCACGTGTATGGTGACACCGTGCAGGACAAGTGCACGTGTATGGTGACACCGTGCAGGACAAGTGCACGTGTATGGTGACACCGTGCAGGACAAGTGCACGTGCAGGATGGGTGACACCGTGCAGGACAAGTGCACGTGTATGGTGACACCGTGCAGGACAAGTGCACGTGTATGGTGACACCGTGCAGGACAAGTGCACGTGTATGGTGACACCGTGCAGGACAAGTGCACGTGTATGGTGACACCGTGCAGGACAAGTGCACGTGTATGGTGACACCGTGCAGGACAAGTGCACGTGTATGGTGACACCGTGCAGGACAAGTGCACGTGTATGGTGACACCGTGCAGGACAAGTGCACGTGTATGGTGACACCGTGCAGGACAAGTGTGCACGTGTATGGTGACACCGTGCAGGACAAGTGCACGTGTATGGTGACACCGTGCAGGACAAGTGCACGTGTATGGTGACACCGTGCAGGACAAGTGCACGTGTATGGTGACACCGTGCAGGACAAGTGCACGTGTATGGTGACACCGTGCAGGACAAGTGCACGTGTATGGTGACACCGTGCAGGACAAGTGCACGTGTATGGTGACACCGTGCAGGACAAGTGCACGTGTATGGTGACACCGTGCAGGACAAGTGCACGTATGGTGACACCGTGCAGGACAAGTGCACGTGTATGGTGACACCGTGCAGGACAAGTGCACGTGTATGGTGACACCGTGCAGGACAAGTGCACGTGTATGGTGACACCGTGCAGGACAAGTGCACGTGTATGGTGACACCGTGCAGGACAAGTGCACGTGTATGGTGACACCGTGCAGGACAAGTGCACGTGTATGGTGACACCGTGCAGGACAAGTGCACGTGTGGTGACACCGTGCAGGACAAGTGCACGTGTATGGTGACACCGTGCAGGACAAGTGCACGTGTATGGTGACACCGTGCAGGACAAGTGCACGTGTATGGTGACACCGTGCAGGACAAGTGCACGTGTATGGTGACACCGTGCAGGACAAGTGCACGTGTATGGTGACACCGTGCAGGACAAGTGCACGTGTATGGTGACACCGTGCAGGACAAGTGCACGTGTATGGTGACACCGTGCAGGACAAGTGCACGTGTATGGTGACACCGTGCAGGACAAGTGCACGTGTATGGTGACACCGTGCTGGACAAGTGCACGTGTATGGTGACACCGTGCAGGACAAGTGCACGTGTATGGTGACACCGTGCTGGACAAGTGCACGTGTGCACGTGCTGGACAAGTGCACGTGTATGGTGACACCGTGCAGGACAAGTGCACGTGTATGGTGACACCGTGGACAAGTGCACGTGTATGGTGACACCGTGCTGGAGTGCACGTGTATGGTGACACCGTGCAGGACAAGTGCACGTGTATGGTGACACCGTGCAGGACAAGTGCACGTGTATGGTGACACCGTGCTGACAAGTGCACGTGTATGGTGACACCGTGCAGGACAAGTGCACGTGTATGGTGTATGGTGACACCGTGCAGGACAAGTGCACGTGTATGGTGACACCGTGCTGGACAAGTGCACGTGTATGGTGACACCGTGCAGGACAAGTGCACGTGTATGGTGACACCGTGCTGGACAAGTGCACGTGTATGGTGACACCGTGCAGGACAAGTGTGTATGGTGACACCGTGCAGGACAAGTGCACGTGTATGGTGACACCGTGCAGGACAAGTGCACGTGTATGGTGACACCGTGCAGGACAAGTGCACGTGTATGGTGACACCGTACAGGACAAGTGCACGTGTATGGTGAAACCGTGCAGGACAAGTGCACGTGTAGAGCTATAGAGTTATAGAGCTATAGAGTTACAGAGCTACAGAGTTATAGAGCTATGGAGTTATACAGCTATAGAGGTATATAGAGCTATAGAGTTATATAGAGCTATAGAGCTATAGAGTTATTGAGCTATTGACCTATTATAAGTATATGGCCATCATTGTTGTGTTAAGGAGTGGATTGAGATTCATGACTAATGTATACTTGGCGGTTGATGAGCAGGTTGTTGTGGTGGCCTTAATAACCCTCCCTGGGATGGTAGATTTACAACTCAACAACAACCCTAAATTCCATTCACCTGGGCTGTAGGAGACTCGAACCCTAGACCCGTCTCCTGGGAGTACGTCCCCTGCGAGTACGTCTCCAGTGAGTATGTCTCCTGTGAGTACGTCTCCTAGGAGCTCGTCTCCTGCGAGTACGTCTCCTGCGAGTACGTCTCCTACGAGTACGTCTCCTGCGAGTACGTCTCCTGCGAGTACGTCTCCAGTGAGTATGTCTCCTGTGAGTACGTCCCCTGCGAGTACGTCTCCAGTGAGTATGTCTCCTGTGAGTACGTCCCCTGCGAGTACGTCTCCAGTGAGTACGTCTCCTGTGAGTACATCTCCTGGGAGCTCGTCTCCTGCGAGTACGTCTCCTGCAAGTACGTCTCCTGCGAGTACGTCTCCTGCGAGTTCGTCTCCTGCGAGTACGTCTCCTGCGAGTTCGTCTCCTGCGAGTACGTCTCCTGCGAGTACGTCTCCTGCAAGTACGTCTCCTGCGAGTACGTCTCCTACGAGTACGTCTCCTGGGAATACGTCTCCTGCAAGTACGTCTCCTACGAGTACGTCTCCTGTGAGTACGTCTCCTGTGAGTACGTCTCCTGTGAGTACGTCTCCTGTGAGTACGTCTCCTGCAAGTACGTCTCCTACGAGTACGTCTCCTGGGAATACGTCTCCTGTGAGTACGTCTCCTGTGAGTACGTCTCCTGTGAGTACGTCTCCTGGGAGTACGTCTCCTGGGAGTACGTCTCACAGAAACATGCTACCTGCATATCATGTTACAGTTCCATTAATAGTCTCCTTGTAAACTGGTAAGTGAACCTTTGGCTTACACAAAGAATATTCGCTAGTTATAACTTTATAGCAACCCGTTCTCGCAAATTCGTAAAGTCAATATTGACTTATTAACTACGTGCATAGGTGATATACTAAACATAATAGATACCCTTAAAAAGATTCATAGAAAACACCGACCTTACCTAACCTTGTTAGTATCTTAAGATAAGCATATATTGCTTCGTAATTACAATTATTACTTAACCTATACCATTATAGGTTAGGTAATAATTGTAATTACGAAGCAATATGATGATTATTAAACATACTAAGTAGGTTAGGTAAGGTCGGTGTTTTCTATGAATCTTTTAATATCTATTATGTTAACTATGTCACCTATGCACATATTTAATAAGTCAATATTGACTTATTAAATTTGCGAGAACGGGTTGCTTTATAGTATTATAAACCGTTGGGGTAAAATTTAAAAAGTCTCTGCTTAATTCGTTTTCTTTCAGTTTAAAGAATTTGGTTTTCTGTAAATTAAATTCTAGAGGAAACTCAAATAATTTTGTATTTCATATTTCGCATGTTCGAGATTGGTTGTTACAACTAATCCCTTGCCACATGTGGAACACTTGCTACATGTGTAACACTTGCCACCTGTGTAACACATATTTAACATACTTGTCAAATATTTAACACAGCCCAAACGTCTTGACACATGAAGCAAGAACTACAAAGGTCAACTTGCCAGGTGAAGACAAGAGGGCGGGAACTAGGCCAAGACCACCAGGACTCTATACCAACACCTCACATCCCTGGCAGCTTAACACTTCTGGAAGACAAGACCACCAGGACTCTATACCAACACCTCACATCCCTGGCAGCTTAACACTTCTGGAAGACAAGACCACCAGGACTCTATACCAACACCTCACATCCCTGGCAGCTTAACACTTCTGGAAGACAAGACCACCAGGACTCTATACCAACACCTCACATCCCTGGCAGCTTAACACTTCTGGAAGACAAGACCACCAGGGCTCTATACCAACACCTCACATCCCTGGCAGCTTAACACTTCTGGAAGACAAGACCACCAGGACTCTATACCAACACCTCACATCCCTGGCAGCTTAACACTTCTGGAAGACAAGACCACCAGGACTCACACCATCACTGGAGAGAAGACATACAAGCAGCTTCATAATGCAACATTCTTCTCACAAGGAATATTTTATGAATACCTGAATCGCTAGGAGTAACGCAGACCCTGGTTCGACTCCCGTTCATGATTCACAGTCAGGACACCCGAGCTTGAACTCCGGTGTTATGGAAATGTTTTTTTTTCCTATCACCTAGTACCTCTGTTCACCTAGCAGTAAATAGGTATACCCAGTAGTTTGGCAACTTGTTACGGCCACAATGGGACGCAACCGGGTTCTTTTCAAGTGGTACGAAAGTTCATATATCCGGCCCCAAGTTAGTAGAGACTTTCAAGAGGCGACCTCAGTAATGCAAGTAAATTAAAAAGGGGAGGTACATTAAATACACAAGTTCATCACTTTAACCATATATAATTATTCTTCCCATCACCATATATATATATAAAAAGTCTTAAACGGAAAATATTACTACACTATGTACATCATCGTCTCAGAAGACACTGAACACTTGTCGAAGCTCACTCCGTGCAGTCTTGAACCGGGTTTACTTATCCGTGGCACTACCCTCGGCAGGTACCAGGAAACAACGATGAGTCTACCCTGGCCACAGGCCAGCCAAATCACAATTCCACTAGGTACCCTGACCATGTTGTGGGGGTTTCGGGAGCGGACTCACAGATGGCGCTGATGTCACTGCTCCGTACTCTGACGATGGACTTGGGTTCGTAACACAACTGTTGTGGAATTGCATCCTGGGGCTGATCAGCCAGGCTGTGATTGATACTTCAGTCTACGAGCCAGATCTCGCAAGGCATTCCTCCTGAATGAGCTTGAATTGAAGGAAGGTCATAGGTCTGACCTCCGCTCTACCTCAAACGCGTCATTCATTCTCTCTCTCCCTTAGGTGAGCCATGTTCCCCACATACAAATTCCAAGCATTGCGCTGATAGTAAACATACAAAACATATGACGCTACCATTTCGTTCTATGTTTTTACCGATGAGAGCGGTATGAAAGTGGAACCACCCACCTAAGTCGTAACAGGAGTTGTCTCTCTCTCTCACAGCGGCGTATACATCAGAGATACACTAAAAGGGACGTCATTAGTTCATGTGTTAAACACAGGACCCTGGGTGACTGTTTCTAATGAGCCGTGAGCGAGCGGTGACGTATTTTGTAAACACCCAGCTGCATAGGATACACTTAGCAGTCACTGGTTACCAGCCAACCAGCCATCCTACACGCTTTTCTCAGTATACAGATCATTAAATACTTAGTTAGGGGACAGACAATCATCTTTGCTTTCTCCGGATGGGTCTGTTCACATAACGTTTTCCTTTCAATTATAGCTTCTGGCTATTTAGCGTTAACAATATTTCTAATTCATTTAACTTTTTATATATAGTTTTTTCACATTTCATATCGAGTGGTCTTGTATCTCTCTCCTTATCGCTGAGTTGTCACCCAGCTCAGCCACTCTTTCATCCCCACATTAGCACACGATCCTACAGGTGACTAATCTTCACCTTAGTAATTCTCAATGGAATAGTCGGTGTGTGATGTTAACAGAGGAACTTAGTTTTTAGTTTAAGATACTTTCAGTTGATAGCCATTAATTACGTAGGATTGGATAGACCGGTTGTTCTGTGCAAAAGCCTTTACAACCCAGTTCACAAACGCGCCAATAGGTTTGGAGACTTAAAACGGTACATTAACCGAAGGAAGACTGACATGTCTCTATCAGAATAAGCACAGAGGCCAACTCTTGTAACCTTGAAACGTAACGTGACCAATGTGCGATCATCATTCTTCCCCAAATAACTTCTTTAAGAGTAACGAGCACCGTAAGCCAGTCTTCAATCGTAGTCTTCATATAAATATTACTGCGAGTCTGTTTTAGCTCCCTTGTAACATGCGCAATGTATTGTAACGCAGAAACCAGCGTTCTGTCGTCCAAATAAATATCATTTTGAAATGTAAAGCCTGTCTACCTAACGTAACGTGACCCACATGCAAACATCCTTTGTACATTCTTTTACTGTGTGACTGTTTTAGACCTTGTAAGACACAATGTCACGTAATGTGGAAAATCATAGACTTGATATTATATTTTTAAAATTGGGTTTTTCATTATCTCTGAGTACAAGCCATTTATCGGGTTTTATTTCAAGGCTCGCTCTAACATACAACATAGTTGAAGCAGGTATTTACACCCCCTCGTTTTTATATCTGCCAACCCAGCTGATGCATTAATGAAATAAATGGTTTCAATTTTGCGAGGCTCAACACGTCAAGTCCGAATATGTTCTCTCTTAGACAGTCACGCAGTTTCAGATCGTCTGACCTTGACTCCGATGATGATGGGTAAGACAACCCTGAGGCGTTTAGCACCGTGTGTGTGTGTGTGTGTGTGTGTGTGTGTGTGTGTGTGTGTGTGTGTGTGACATTTGGCTCGTTAGCCTTCGCCGTCATGGCTTTACCGTCACCGCCTAATCAGCGGTTGTTTCTCCTGCTCCCCCCCCCCCCCCCTCTCGTGTTAACAGTGAAGAGACAGCAAAGCTTAACATGGATTTTGTATCTAGTTTTTAAAAGGATTTGAATAAGAGGAGTCATATTCCATAAAATACTTACATCCACCATTATCTATGAGCAGTAAGAGGAGGTTCTGTTCACCACATATAAAATTCTGTGCATTGCACAGCAATGTAAAACTTAACAAAGTCAAAATGTATCAATATGCTATTAGATAGATAGACAGTCAAAACATATAACATGGATTTTAAACTATTACTAGTTTTTTCTTCTAACAAATAAGGTATCTTTAAGCTGCTCATCACTTCAAACACTTATTCTGTTTCATAATGTTGCTAACATTTACCAAACAATCACCCAACACCACTCTTTCACATTCCTTAACTAAATTATTCCTCAATCAGGTGAAAACAGTTCAATATCTCTGCATCTCCAGCGTTTATACAGACAGATCACACATTCATTTATTCCCACCGTAATGAGAGAGTTTTAGTTTTCCACATATCATATCGTTTAGGGGTTTTAAGTTCATTCTCTGTGATAATATGAAACACCTGTTTACTGAAAATTATACTACTCTATATGTAATGTAGTATTTCCTTCTAAATTGATGTATATATGATTTATATTGTATATTATTAAATTAAGATGAAAAAAAGCTCTTAACAAATTCATGGTTAATAGGAACCGCGATTGTGTCCAAAAGTAGTATGGAGAGAGAGAACTCTTATTGTTTATAATGTCTTACACAGAAATTGAAATTGAAATAAGTTTATTGAGGTAAAATACACACAAAAGGAAAGAGGGCACTGCTAGATGTGTGCTCTGTTGAGCAGGTGTCCGGCACTGTTAAGCTGGTTTCCAGTTCTGTCCTGCTAGTTTCCAGTTCTGTCCAGCTAGTTTCCAGTTCTGTCCAGCTAGTTTCCAGTTCTGTCCAGCTGTTTCCAGTTCTGTCCAGCTACTTTCCAGTTCTGTCCACCTACTTTCCAGTTCTGTCCAGCTACTTTCC